GCGAAGTCATTTGTAGGATTAACGACCGCTGATGCCTCGGCCTGGACGAGCAGGCGTTATTATGATGAGACTCTTGGCCGCCCCAACCGGCCACTTCATTAACATAATTGAAGAGCGGAGTGGTGGTGTGGGAGTGGTGGTGTGGGAGTGGTGGTGTGGGAGTGGTGGTGTGGGAGTGGTGGTGGGGGAGTGGTGGTGTGGGAGTGGTGGTGTGGGAGTGGTGGTGTGTGGGAGTGGTGGTGTGGGAGTGGTGGTGTGGGAGTGGTGGTGTGTGAGAGTGGTGGTGTGTGGGAGTGGTGGTGTGTGAGTGGTGGTGTATGGGAGTGGTGGTGTGGGAGTGGGGGTGTGGGAGTGGTGGTGTGGGAGTGGTGGTGTGGGAGTGGTGGTGTGGGAGTGGGGGTGTGGGAGTGGGGGTGTGGGAGTGGGGGTGTGGCAATTAGTAAACAATATTAATACAATTTATACACGATATTCAGGGCCATTTCGCTGCGGTCGAAGAGAAAAAGTCCTTAATATCAACCGTGGAGCTTCTTAGTTAATTAGTTAAGAAAACCTAAAGCAAAATTCATCTTTTGTGATCGCCTTACGTGTTGAATAGTTCATCTTTTGTGATCGCCTTACGTGTTGAATAGTTCATCTTTTGTGATCGCCTTACGTGTTGAATAGTTCATCTATTGTGATCGCCTTACGTGTTGAATAGTTCATTGTGGGAGTGGTGGTGTGGGAGTGGTGGTGTGGGAGTGGTGGTGTAGGAGTGGTGGTGTGGGAGTGGTGGTGTGGGAGTGGTGGTGTAGGAGTGGTAGTTAGGGAGTGATTAATGTTGAAGTAGGAGTAAGAGTGCATGGGGTTGCTTGATGTATTGGTGCTTGTAGTGTAGGTGTTGTAGTGTGTTGGAATGGAAGTGCTTGCGGTATAGGTACAGGATCGAGGGTGTTGAAATGTAGGTGCTCTACGTGCGGTCGTTAAGCTGCTTTGCTGTAGCATACAAATGACGGTGAGATCCGAGGTAGAGGCAAGAGTCTACTCAGAAAATATATGCTTTCTTTAGAGGAAAGTTTATTTAGTCATTACCCACTCTGAAATTGAAGGGAACAATAGTTTACTGGGGCTTGAGAAATTGTTCACTGTAGCTACCTAATAAAATAGAGTTGTTATTTCCATGTAAAAAATACTCGTGGATTAAAATATGAAAATAGCAGTATTATGCGATGATTACTGTGCCGGCAAAACGAAGAGTTACTAATCTGATGCATGGATGTTGGCAGAATTCCGATGCATATATGGAGACTTCAGGTTATAAGAAGGATAGTAGTTATCCTCATCTATCGAACTCCTTTAATTACAAGCCAACGATATTGATACAGTCTCCGGGAGTGATCTATTTCCGTATATAAGAAAATTACAAACTACTTATTTCTCTTGAGTTCGGTACGATTATTTGCCGACTGCCTGAAAGGAGCGAAAAAGTGATAAGAGTGTCATCGACTCATCGTGTTATATAATTATTATTAACAATTTTCATTGTAGGGGCTCTGTTTTTGCGATGATGTGAAAAAATTTGGTTTTATTCTCTATGATATATTTTGTTGCGTTCGAAGTTTCTGTTTCGCAAAACTGTTCTGTCATTCGTGCGGCGAAAAATGAATGATGTTATAGAAATCTGTGAACGTGTTAGACATTCTGTCGTTATTGATTCAGAATGATTCAGATAATATCATATATTTTTAGTGGTCATGCACAATAGCACTAGTGAAAAGCTCTTTTCTTATTTTAAATAAGTAATGGGTCTTTTCATTAAAATGAGCTTCAATTACGGGATGGATACTAATCCTTATTACGGGATACTATCCCTTAGAATGGATTATTTTAATTATTTTCAGACAGCGCTCCAGCTTTTTTATCGTATCAATTAATAATTATATACATCATGCTCAACTTCTCAATTAATTTCATTATTGCTCTAAAACTTAATAATATAGAAACTTTTATAGGTTAAAATTTAATGCTATAATATTTTCTAATTCATAAGCGTAGGAAGGTGGACAGTAAAGAGAAGAAATAGTGGTCCCTGTCAGTGAAATATTGTTGTTCTAGCATCAGTATTCCAATATCGTACCATTTAAACCACGGATGAGTTTAAAGTTACCAGTCACAAACTTATTTTTTCGGGGAACAACGCAATATTTACCGCTGCATCCAATTTAGCGAAGAATTTATCGCTACCTTTACGTTCAGTTGATGGTTTTTATTGATGTATGGAACAGTCCTGATTGAACTTAATTGTCTGCTGAAATGCACTGTAAGTGCGTACGTAGCAGTACTGTACTGCTCTATACGTAGCAGTACTATAACTCAGTCTCAAAACTCTCTAAGTATTGTACTATGACTCTTTTGTTACCAGTAAATAATTCTGTGACCATTTATATATATATGATTGATTTCACAGCTCTATTCATGAGCAATTTACTAGTGATGCATACATTACACCGTACGACCATAACAACAGGGCTGCGGCCGTCTCCAACAAAGCCTAGCATAAGCACAAAGTTGTGCTGTAAAATCGTCACTCGGTGACAACCCACTCAAAGTTCGCAACAAAAGTACGCACTGCAAGTTTTGATGGATGAAGCTTTTGCGAGATTTGTCCAAGGTGCTCAAATGCACTTTGCCACAAATGCCCAAACTAACCTAATACAAACTAAGCAAATTCGGCACTCTTTAGAAATTTCAGTTTAGTTTTCGGTGGTTTTCAGAGGTCGATGGTTGGCCGCCGTTGATCCGCATATAATTCACAATACTAAATTGCGGCGTGGCCAGAATGATTGATCCGAAATGGATCGACTTAGCTGCAGTCTGAAAACTTTTCAGCATACAGTGATCAAATTCTGAGGAATATCATTTTCATAGCTTGATACGCTGTCCAGCAAATCATATCGACCTGTACTTATCATTTATTCAAACTTTTATGTGCAAATGGAAGGTTTAGTTCAATACTCGGAACGAATCGTTTAGCCAGAAGAAGGTGCATGACGATAGTGAAGCCTTCACGACCCAAAAACATGTTTTCAAAGAAATATCTTCAACAAAATATGGTCTAATTTGCGTGAAACTTCTCAATTGATAAAATATAACCGTGAAACCAAGAAATACGAACATTTCCTTTGTGCTCACAAAATACTGTTACTATTTCACAATTCGAGAAAACCAAGGAGTAAATATTATGCTTTTCATTCCATTACAGCTCGCTCGAATTACATCTGTCCATTCAAGGTCCTCAGTGGCTGACCAATATTGTTATCACATATGTTTTCGATGAACATTATTAACCTTATTACGAAATGAAATTATCGAAAATTTTCGCACAATGTTTTCTATTATTGCGAGTACCGTTGTAGGGCAAGCTGTTTGAATATCTGATTATGATACTTAGTAATAAATTGATTTTTTAAGCTAGTATTCAAAATATCTTAAATTTAATAATCCTAAATACTCTTTAAACAGCTGTGAATTGAAAATTGAATTTTGCACGGCGCTTCTTTAGTGACTTGAAAAATCAAGGCCCAGCTTTTGACGGAGTTTGTTATTATGTTATGGTAACTCACAATACTTCTCATGAATTCCGTTTAGCCCTGACACAGGGTCTTGAAAGTTAAGCAATTGATATGCTATGTCACTTACACATTAAGTGAGGATCCTCGAAGTGATGAATCTAGCTTTTCTTCATAGGTGATCTTCGAGCCACTAATCGCATATTCAATTTCCCAGCACGTACGTTGGACGTTTTTCATAGGAAAACCCTGGGTTCGGTTCATTTCTCGGACAATTAATTAATGAGCTAAAGTTCAACAAATTTGAACTACACTTATTGTTATCTTTTGACACTTGTTTTGGTCCACCTTGATGATGCTAAAGGTATGCACTTTAATTTAACCATAGTTTTATATCAGAAGTTCTCACACAGAACGCAAATTCAGTAAAGACGCAAGCACTGGTTTTGGTTAGTGGCTCGCACACGCACCGCAAGTTCTGTAAATCCGAGCTTAAAGTGGCCACATCCGACCACCATTCCGGTCACGCCCGCCACTGGGCGCTTTGGACGACAATTTTCTACTGTGTTTGCAGAATAAATATTCAGATTTGCGATGCAAAAGAGGAGGATGCCAATGTAAAATATGGCGCCTGGGCGCTGCAGGTCCGACTGTTGTGGGCGGTATATGCTTTGATATGTGCCCCTTCTGATCATACTGGCTTTATGACATAAATATTTCATCAGGCTTTAGTGATAACTAAAGTTGGTTATGATGCAAACGGGTAAACGCGTTTTATTTATCGTACTAATAATAAAATTATTATTTAGAATGCACGCAGCTTTTAGTGGACCCTCCTCCCAACATCTAAAATCTCTGAATGCAGTAATATGTGTAATGAAATGATGAGCAATTGACTATAACTTGCCTTGTATAAAAAATTAATCATTTGAAATGTCAAGCAACTATGAATGACGAATTACCGTTATAAAATCAATTGCACTAAGGTTCCACCAACTAACAGAGCAAAACTCTGCCATGCTTTCAAAAAAAGTCCATCAAATTATAACCAGAGTTCAATAAAAAAATGGGATTGGAGCCCCAGTCTGCCTCCTTACTTGTGTTTTCTTCTAATTTTTTCAGAGAGCGTAATTTAATACTTTTCAGATTTAATTTCGTCTAAGAAGATTTATATGACTTCATTTACAGATATAATTTCGAACCATTTCATTCATTAACAACCATTCTTCACTTACAGATATAATTATGAAGCATTTCTCTGTATCAAATGAAGCAAAAGATGATAGGATTGACTGCTATATATTCATTGTACAAATATACGTATACATTTTTCATAAATAGAAAATAACTCGCTCTATCACGAGTCCGCTTGATTAACAAAACAGATTAAGATTCAATTAAAAAAAGCTTGGTAGACCCTTTCCACAGGAAATCATAACATTAAACACTCACCAGAAATGCCACTGTAGGTCCACCATTGCTCCCAACTGCCTTCGCTGCCTGCAATGAGAGAAAAAGCGAAAATGTACGAGGCGAATAAGTGGAATAAGTTGATATAGATTTTAAATATTCATTATCAAAATGCATTTCTTGCACTTATGTTAATTGTTAATGGTTTTGATAAGTGTAAAAGTGCTGAAAATTTTTCACCTTGTAGAATCTGAGTTCTAAATTATTGCATTTTAGAAATAGAACCTGAGTTTATAAAAATCTTCATGTTGATCAAAAAATGTAGGAAGCATGGTAACGTAACATGACTAGTAAGTATTTATGATTTATATTCATTGAGATGTGCATTTTAATTCGGTGGCAACACAGTACGTTCGACATTTTAGCAGAATATTTTTTCTGCTGATTCAATGCATAGACATTTTAATGGGACCTTAGCGCAATTTTTTAAACGCATGTAACAGTGAGTGTCATTATGGTATAAAATTTAATCAGCATAGCAGTTCGCAGTGGCATTCTTGTCATGAGATAAAGTTCATATCAATGGGATTAGTTATTTATGTTGCTGATTAGTATAATATAACAATTTGTTAAAAATCATTACGATTTCAGGAAACTTAGCCTCGCTGATTACCTCATAGCGTGACGAAGTGGATGCTGTTGGGAAGTTTCGTGATTTAACACTATTGAGTTATCATCAAAGTTTTAGTTGGAATCACAAGCAGAACAACACTAACCACATCAAAAACGCATGCATGAAAGTTTGTCCCAAGGTCCTATCGCTATAAGGAGCACTAGTGATTATGCTGAACAAAGTCAATAATCGATGTGGTGTCCATTAAGCGCATTTTAAAGAGATTGACGAAAACATCAACGCCGACTAACAGTCATGACCCAGAGCGCTGTGGCAGCTTCTACTGCGGCTGCAAGATCGAAGATTTGCACCACATAAAGAATGCGCCGCTATGCTGACGCTGCGAATGTATGAACGACGCAGAATATGGGTGCAGACCAAACGAAATATCTGGCAAAAATTGTGACCCCAGAACCATATTAATTCTGTTCAATTTACGCCTTCTGCGAGCCTTGTATGCTCCGATTGAAAATTGTGGGAAAAATGGAAAAAATAAGAGTCAAAAACCTTAAAGTAAGAGGGCTTCACGGGTTCTGCTGAAATGTAGATTAGTTTTCGTTAAGGTTTATTGACTTTTACGACTTTGTAATATAAGATATTAGTCCACTGCAGTAAAGTAACGTAATTACTGCCATTGTTAACTGCCAATTGAATTTTGCCATCCATATTCGGTAAGAAGAGGGTACTTCACATAATTATACTCGGAAAAAAACCATATGAGTCCTTCTTTACGGTTGACGCTTCCAAAATTTTTCTCTCGGACATCAAGCTGCTAAGTAAGTTAAAGATGAATATAAAAGTGGATTACTTTGCCGCATGACAAAATCTAAATTATTTTTTTTACAAATCTAAATCTAAGATTTGCGAATGTATTCAACTTTATTGTTATCATGTAAATACCTTTTCACGGAAATATGAAAAAATGCAGTAAACATATCACAATCTTGAATGTTCCAAATCATACCAGCATGAATATAAATAACTTCAGTTATGAAAAACGCGGTTTTCAGTCAAAACGAGAACATTTTTTCATGAACATGCTTTGATGTTCAGCATTCTCCACTGATCTTTATCATCACTATTTTCGCCTGCACAATTTCGATGAATTTTACCCGATTCTGCCAAATTGCAAAGTTGGTGGTTTGCAAAGAACAAAACACTTTACTTGAGCAAAATTGCGAAATTTACTCTAGTGACTGACTCTAAACTTGTTGTTCAGAACGGATGTACAGATCTTCATCTGTTAGAATTTCAATATTGATTTGATTCCAAGGTTTTCTGCTCGCCATCTTATTGAGGGCGGAAGGCAAGTCTAAGAGAGGCCAAGTCTGGCAGCCCTTATCGCAAAGCCCATCACAATTCTCCCAGGAATCCTGAATCCAAGTCGTCTTTCTGCACTAACCACATTCAGCCCCTCGGCTCCGACCCGCCCCTCGCCGACCATAAACACGGATGAGACAGAAGCCTCAATTGTACAAATGATACTGCGAGCTTTAGGCAGCGGCGAAAGCGTGAGGCAGAGAGGGACGGTATACGCAGAAAAAGAGTGGTCTCCGCATCATTGCTTCAAGATTTTAGCCCAAGGAGTTGATCCCTAGCATTTTAGCAGTTAGGTTAGCCGACTGTTACAGCAGGGGCAGATGATATCGCCTTGGCTGCGTTCAATCGAGGATTTGCCAACACAAAGGAACTAGGAAAACCTTCTACTGATAAGCGACTGCAAACATCTTCCTGCCCTTAAACTTTTCTTGATGATCCGGGTTTTCTTTTCCGTAATCTGTGACTGATGATAAAGTAACCGTCACGTAATTAGACCCAGAGGAATAGTTACTCATAAAAAATGATCCTTAATTCCTTTTGTGTTCTCTGTGCTAGACGCTAGTGTATTATCAAATTATTTACTTTGAATCTCGATAATATTCATTTCTAACAGCCGCCCGTTAAAAAATAAAATCGTCGCTAATCTTGACAACCGTGTGCTACAATTTCGAAAGCTTGATCTTTGATCATAAGTTCATTGATAATTCCAAATACTGTTTTGGTGCCGCAATTTCGAGATTTAAGATCAAACCGGAATCGCTATCGGATGATGAAAGCTTACTATGTCGAATTATTAACAGAATCCTACTATACACCTCTGAAAACACCACTCAACTAAACTATTAGCTCAAATCGACAAATATTGACGACTTCACATCTTCTATTAATCTCTCTGGACAATACGACACCCTTTCGGGGGCTGTTTTCCGCCATTTTTTGCTTATATTGTTAACTGAGCGAGAAAAATCTCTTAATTCAAATAATTATCTAAAAGTCTTTTCGAGAATTTATCCATTCAAATATTGAAATTTTCCTTGGGAATCTAGCTGCGATACCGAAAGTCATCTCGCATTCTACTGAAAATTTATTTCCGTACCATTTAAAAAGGGAAAAGAATGAATTTTCTTGCCTATTTCCTCGTCTCTACCAGTTAAATAAATGAACACTGGTGAGCATCGCACATGAACGTTTGCCCTCTTATAGCTGAGCGATGACAGCATTCGTCCTATTTGAACAGTTATACTTATTATGGATAAGCTCAATGCTAAAATCATTTTTCAATCTTCTATCTGAATATGAAAGCGTGAAAACTGTTTTCTATACAATACAGCGAGCCTGCAACGTCTTTAGTGATCCAAAGAGATTTCCACATTTTTCTGGAATATATGCAAGAAAGAAATATTCGATGTAAGTGCTTGCAAATCGTCTAGTGTCCGTCTATTTTGGCAAAATATTGTAATTTTATTATCATAATTGAGGCAGGCGATCGCTCAACTTGTTGAATACCAATTGTGACAGAGAGTCTAATGAAATAGGCTGCTTCAATTCTATTCCTGATGTGGCCTCAGCAACCCATACTGTTAACCGTGTCACTGACACCTTTGTTGTGGTAGCTTCCTCTTCGCATAAGCTGGCCATCAATTTTCTTGGACGGCCATTGAAGCTTTGCCGATACTTCGTGTCAGGGACCGGAGCGAACATATTTCGCTCTACAGCGCCTCTCCTTGATGGATGAACGGTCTCTGCATGACACGACCTAAATCTCTGGTAAACTTAAGCCTGAACGTACAATACTCGCAGAACATGACTGTCAGGAACGACTAGACACAGTCTCTGCTAACGTGACTGCAACACTGACAGTAGAACGCCTGGACACAAACCCTGTCTACATGTCCCATACTTTTGATAGCCGTTTTTCATAGCTACGAAATATCTAAGGGATTAGTTAAAATCGATTTTACATAATTCTTTGTGATTAATGAATATTTGTTTTATGAATATGCATTCCGTTGATATATTTGAAGCGGAAAGCAAAAAATATGCGTTTTGCTACCAAGCGACGGCTAATTTCGCGGAGATTAATACCAAGGAATTGGGACGGTAGGAAAAAGTCTACGATATTTAAACCGAACATTCGAGTATCTCTCTGACTGAGACTCCAAATACTTGAAAACATTTAGCCGAAAGTGAATGAAAACATCATCGGGGAATAAAAAGTGAAAGAAAACTATATTATTGTGGAGAAATAACTTCTCATGGAGCCTATTATCTCACAAGTGCACCTTAGGTTTCTGCTACTGAATCTCATGCTTTCAAATTTATTCATGTTTACTGTATGTAGGTTCAACGTATAATTTTATTAACAAACGAAATTTAAGATAAGCATTCGTTCATTGAATTTATATTTCCAAATGTGTTTGGCAGAAACTACTCGTCTGATCTGCTCTGCTGAAAGGCTTTCGCATACACTAATAAGTAAATAATTTTAATTTAGTTATTTCTCTTATTTGGAGCAAACGGCAGTTCAAAAAGGACTGAGAGTGATTATTGAGAGAGCTTCAAACAAGAGCAGCTTCAGATAAAGATCACGAAAAGAATTGTTCCTAGAGGAGACTTAGGAGAAGGTTCGTTGTAGAGGGCACTTGGAGAAGGATTATTTCACGGGAATTCAGGGGAAGGATTGCTTTAGAGGCGGCTGATGTAAAGGAATTGGATTCAACACAAAATATGTCAATCTTATCGTTAAACATGGTTTCGTATTTTATAAGTAACTTTGTGTGAGGGAGCATCAAAAAGTTTAATGCTCAAGAAAGATCAATGCAAATAGCACTTTTTAAATTTAAAATGGATAGGTAACATTCGACTGTGAATCCTTAACTTTTTTGATATTTTTTTAACCCTCTATGGATAATTTGTAATGTTCTATCAAATGACGGAATTGTGAATACGGTTGTAGATAAAAAATTTGGAAGAGTGATGTTATAAAAAGTGGTTTTCCTTGTATAAATAGAATAATTTAGAAAAATGTATTAAGATGATAATCCAGAATTGTCCTTACATAGAACTTACTCTACCACCGTGGTGAGGTATGCATGGG